TTGTAGACCAGATGATATGGTTGTATTGGCGCTTAGTTGGCCGAAAGTAGAAAAGAGAGAAAAGAGATAAAGAAAGAGACGAACGAGTGGGGGCGAGCCATCCACCGTCATCACGGAAAGGAAACACACACGGGCTATTGCAACGTACCGATCACGGTAATAGACGGTCAGTCCGACCTATGGCAACGTTACTAGAATATCCTATAGGACAACAGTCCGATGCACCATACTTCTATGGTTCAATGTATAACCCGTAGGCGTGTACAATGATCCGATTACTGAATCAACATACCGAAGACAGTTCCGGTAATACTCCTTGGTGAGTACCTACTACTTGTGTGGTGATGACTGACATTGAATATTCTAAATGAGGAATACTGTATTAGATATTTGATCCTTCCCGAGAACGAGTTGGAAGAAGGATAGCCGCAAATAGACCTGTGGCAGACCAAGACTTCTTCTGTGATGTGCTGAAAAATAAACGATCCTCTCATTTTCTCTTTCGTTGCGGCAATCTGATCTCCCTGACGCAGCCGTCTCTAAAACTTCTACACATCGTAACTCTATCTATCCATTCCAATTTTATCCCGGCCTCGCTGGGCGGATCCTTAAAATATATTGGAATTTAATCGCACGAACTAATGTATGTACTGCTGTACTGCCGCGCGTTGGAGTGCTGGAGCCCACAGCAGACCTGAACGTGGGTGCTGATTGGGGGGATGTAGTACAGTCCCGCCTTTTGGACCCCGGAAACGAGATGAGGCATGCCTACGCCTGAATTTCGTCCTTAATACGGCTATAGCCATTCCCACAGCAGTCAAGAAGAGCAGCAGGAGGCAGGGCGGGCACTTGCTGATCAGAGGGTTGGCCACGTGTACGCTGGACACTGGATTGAGAGTACCGCGGGCGCACGGCTGTTGCGAAGGACACTTTGGGGTTCGGTCGCTTTCAGCAGTACAGCCACATCAGCATCCGGACTCGTCACACACCACACACATCAGCGAACATAGAGGGGCCCTGGATCTAGAGTGAGAGTACGTATTCGGCACTTTCAATCTACGCTGCGGGTGTACTTCTGTGCTCTTCTATCTTCCTTTCGGTGAGTTTTCGAAGTTAGAAAAGGTTGGATCGAAGTGCTATGTCGGTCACGACATCAGTTTTGGCGCCAACAGAAGAAGCCGAAAATTTAAATTTAAATTATTCTTTTACCATCTCACCAGTCTAGACTACACTCCAAGGATTCATTCCGTCCCACAACTTGGAAATAGAGTGGAAAATGTTCATTTTTTTTTTTTTACGATGCAGAATCCAGACGGGTCTGCAGTGGACACAGGTCTCTCCTCACACAGAAAACCAATTCCAACCGAGGCTAACTGCTGTAGGCCAGGTTGTGGAGAAACCAACCGGCAAGCTAAGAGCGAACGTACACACAGCTGCGTCGTGCACGAGAAGAACACAGCAGCGCCACACCAGGAGCGGAGTGTGTGTCTTGCCGACTACACACGGACACACACCATGTTGTTACAGAATCCTTTGTGCAGCGCCCACGCAGATGGGTCTGCAGTAGACACACACCTTCTCCTCACACAGACAACTATTTGCAGTGCATCTTCTTCTCCACCGAGGACCTCTGTGCGACACTTGTGTAGGAAACCCGAGGACTTTTCCGCGAAAAATCTTGCACATTCAGCCCCCCACAGCCCCGCAGTGTAACGCTTCGCAAAAAGGTCCGCAAAAAACACGCCGCGTTTCTGGACCACGAATCATTTACTAGATGCTCGCCGGCCGTTGAACACCACACAGCAGTAGTACACACCCCTCAACCCTACACTCCTACTACATCTACAGCACCCCGCAAATCACCGGACGAACGACGTGCCAGCATGGAAGATCAACAACAAACTGTACAACGGCGAGTCATCACAGCGGCACAACGAGCTCGCAGGCGACAACGGGACCGCGTGAACGATGCGAAGAACAAGGCGGACAACAGTAGCAAGAGACGCGAAACTGCTGCTGTTATTCAAAAGCGATCCTACGATAGGAAACGTAGAGCAGCCATCGTGTCAGCAAACAGGCATCGTTCCAACGATATTCTTCGTCACAAGGACGACATGGCGTGTCTACGAAACATTCTCACCCAGCGGCGCGAGGCCCTACAAACTGCGCGGGAACAACTGGGTATATAAATCGGAAAAGCCGACCCTTGTGCGTACTGTGGTGCTGAACTGTTCGAGAAAGAGTCGAGGGGGATTTGTTGTAAGAACGGCAAATACGTCCTCCCGAGACTACCGCCTCTGCCAGCCGACCTGCATGAGCTATACACTTCGGACCCATCAGCACAAAAGTTTCGCAAAGAGTCCCGGGCCTACAACTGCCGCTGCAACTTCGCCTCGATGAATGTCGAAGATGGGGAATTGAAGAACATTGTTGGCGATCATTTCTTGTCCGTGCAAGGTGAGAAATGTCGTATAGGAAGGCGATATCATTTCTTTGCCGTATAGTCTAAATAATTTTCGTTTCTATGTTTCCACCCGCCTTTCGTTGCCGTCTTTGGATGTTCTTTGTGTTCACCAAGGCAACGATTTAGCTCTTCCTTCTGTCCCTCCTCCCTGCGAAGTGTGTGTACTTCAACAACGATATTCACCGCATGTTGTTCGTGCCGTGACTACCGCCATGGTCTTGCAGAACTTACCACTCCGTCAGGAAAGGTGCACATTCCAACGTGCAATCTCTACTGCACGACCCCAACTTCGTCTATGGCCATCTCGACGAATACATCATGAAAAAAATACGGGAGGCGTTGCGAAACATGTTTCCACACATTGGACGTCTGAAGGAGGCTGTGAGAAACCGGTGCCTTTGCGATGAACAACGCCATTAGTTTCCGATTTCCGCACTACTCGTCTCTACATTCCCGAACGGTTGCTCGTCGCACGTGGGTCTTGTTACCCATGTGTCTCGTAGCATGATTCATCACGATGCAAGTAACTCCGATTGATCAATCGTCGTGTTGTACATCGTATAATGCACTTTTCTAGATGTGGTATCATATTTCCATGCTTCCCGCCGTTGCTCTTTTCATACGAATCCCCCGAAATATTTAACGTAGGCGGAGTTCCCGAACCAAATCCGAAGCGTTGGCTTTTTCTTCGCCGGGAGCACCGTCTTCCGAAGTAGTAGCTATGGACACGCGCGCCAGGGGAATTATGCCCAAAAACAGGGCAGCAATGGCCAGGACTCTCTTTGGAGAGAAAATGTAATCTCCGCGAACGACAGGGATTATTTTCCGTTGACTTTCGTTTTGCTCTTCCCAGAGGGCGGTGTATCCGGTTGGCACTGTGATTTGAAGAGCACTACGGGACACAGAATTACTCTCGCGCAGTGGGTTCCGCAATTGTTGGTGAGGGAACCCCGGTTGCAACAGCTTGGCCCATTGGCGAACGAATTCGTCATTGATGTCTACAGCTGCATCGAGGATCAACGCCTCTACTCCACGCATTCAACCAAGAAAAGTACTGCACTTCTCTACATCACAATTCGGCTGCTTCACGGATTCCCCGTCAGCTGCGGGACGCATCGCCACCTAATGGTCGAGTCATAATTCCGTCAAGTTTCAAGGGTGCTTTTGCTGACCAGGCCAAGAAACTTTCCGAAGCTATGGCCACCTTACGACACTGCGGTCCTCCATCGTACTTCGTCACCGTCACGTGCAACACTGTGAGTCAGTCTTGTGTTGTGTAGTTTTGTTATTTTCCAGCGATAACGTACGTACGTCGTGTTTTTCGCCTGTTCCAACACCCATGGTTTCCTTTGCGTTTATGTATTTCTCCCCAAGCTCTCATGTATCCCATGGCTCGATCAATTTTCATTCCCGTCGTACTTTTTTGGCAAAATTTCGACCACAATCTATTTATGATTGGCCAGAAATCAAGCAACGTCTGCACAGCGGGCAAACAGCCTTCGATCGAGCAGAACTGTGCGCCCGGGTATTCAAGCAAATTGGACGTCATCCTGCAGGTAGCGAAACAAAAATTGTAGGGAACCATCAGCGTCGCTTGGGGCCTGAAGGGTTGATGACAAAAGCGAATAAATACGGTGGTGTGCGCGGAGGTTGACCCAACGAGCACGGAAGCCGGTGTCACCCCTTTGCCAACTGGTCGAAGCCGCCCGTGAGATGTATCTCGCGTGACAACGTAAGGATTAGGTAGCCTACCCAGGGAGTAGACAGAGCTATACTGCTGCATGCTACGGTACACGGAAGTCATACCTTGCTCACGTGCCTCTAGTTCCCCTGTACCTTTTGTTCCCCTTCCCCCAAATCATTTGAAATACGAAAGGATAGAACATGTATGTTCCTGTGCTACCCGTGACACCGTTCACTTTTCGAGATCTCCTGTGCATAGCCTCAACTGCTTTCCTCCGCCCTATCTCTTGCACCACTTTCGTACACAGCTTCTACCTCACATTTTTTGGGAAATTGCCTACGGGATTGCGGTAATCGAATTCCAGGTGAATAATGGAGAGCCACAATGAACTATGGTCAACAATACCGGTTTTACACCCCCAGATTGTCTTCCTCCATTTGATGGATGCTCATTTGCGTTCACCATGTCAGACCACGGTAGAAGCTTTCGTGTAGGAACTCGATCATGTCTGTATTTCGCATTCCGCTCTCAAGTTCCTATGGCCGGAATGTGTTCGAAAAGTTTCGTTTTCAAGGCGGATCTTTCCTCCTTGTTGTTGCTCTCTTTCGCGGTTTCATTGTCGCAGAAGTGAGGCCTGCCTCATTCGCACATTACTTTTTAGGTCTGCGACGACGAAAAGCCAGACAACGCGCAGTGCATCGATAAGCACGTCCGAGCGACATGGCCTGACCAAGAAAAGGAACCTGAGCTCTATCGGGTGATCTACCGATCACCTGCAGCAGCACGATGACTCCCCACTTGCACCATGCTTACGAGATGGTCCCCGTACTCTTCATTGTCATACCGCCGCACATGGCGGTCGACTGCGGCCCTCACGCTGGAAACGGCACGCAGATCCCTAGCGCTGTTTCCATCGGAACCCAGGTATATCAGTTTCTCACTGCACGCAATCTTACGCTCTTTAAAGTATTGACTGAAGTTGGCGTCCTTCTTCCGCGTAGCTTTTCAGTGCGATTGGACTTAAGCTCTGCATGACCCTCAACAGCCTAAAATCACCTCCCCTGCGTACTATCAACCCCACATGCCACGTTTGAGCAATCACCACCACCTGTCCTGCTTGCTTCTCCGTTCGATACTTCTTTATCGTTCCACAATCCTCGCTGTGCCTCTCACTACATTCCGTCGTGTCCTCCCACCCATTTCCACCTTACGCAGGCCCTCAAGGAACTCTTCCGCTGTGACGATGAGGAGTTCACCCTCATGGACGACGCCGGCAAGCAACAGCGTGCGCGCTGACCAGTCGGCGTGACTTTCGTTGCGGCCGTCCAGAGAAAGAAGTTGGGTGTTCAAGGGCGCTATGGGTATCACGTTGTTGCCCTCTCCAACGACATTGACGTTATCGAGCGTCCCAACGACACCACAAGGCCAACGTCAACGACACCGTCGACCTTTCTGCCGCCGACATTGAATGGGGCGGCTCGCCCAACGCCGCCGCCACCGCCATCCTGCGCAACCGGTTCATCCACAAGAAACGCAAACCTTCGCGGACCCGCGACGGCAAGGGCAAAAAGCGTCGGGTCCAGCCCGACACCCCTTTTGTCGACGAAGAGTTCGAGGACGACGATGGCGACGAAGACTCAAGTCCGAACGCACTGACAGCAATGACGACGACGAAGACGAAGAGATTAACGGCGAGGAAGAACATGGATACGGAGCCCAGGAGGACGAACAAGGGGATGGAGGAGACGAAGATGACGATGAGGGCGAAGAGGATGAAGGAGAAGAAGAGGACGAAGAAGATGGAGAAGATGACAGCGACGACAACAGCGACGACGACAGCGACGACGAACGAGTCCTGTATTATGTGTACTTTGTCGTTGCGCGTACGGTTCACGTTGTGATCATGGTTGAAGACATCGTGTCCCTACTCGTCCCTGTCCGAACAAACTTGGGTTCCTTTTCCGAGCTCGTTGGGTTCACGTTGTTGTCTGCCATGTTGAGTCGTACAGCAGTTGTGTTTTTTCGAAAACAGGTTTCCTTGTCTCGAATTCGTTGGGTCGCGTCGTCATTTGCGGGCTTGTGGTTTAGGTTGCCTTCGCTTTCTCTCTCGGGCGCCTCAATCTTCCGGACGTTTTCTCCGTAGGTGGAGTAAACCCCGGCGGAAGCGGACGCCAGTAGTCCGTTTTCATCCTACACATTGTGTTTCTGTCGCATTTCTCGTCCTTTGGGGTCGGATTGCACTCATTGAGCGGCGGTAGTAACCATTCATCATCGGTTCTTCACGTGTTGTGGTTTTTTATATCATGAGTAACTCTTGCTTGCTAGGAAATGGGAAAGTCTGATACACAAAATGGCCGCAACAACTGTTACCCACAGGCGAGCTACAGTATCGCTGCTGTATGTTTCGTGAGGGTCAGTACACACAGGGTACGTCAGTCAAATATCATGAGGTGTGCATTGGGAAGGTATCTGGGACTTTCATATGCAAGAGAGAATTTTACTTGAAAACACTACAAGCTACGAACGCGGGGGAAAGCAGGGGCCTGGCGCCCCCGCTCGTCCACCGTTTAGTTTTTTTTTTGTTTTGGTCTTCACTTCAACTCAGCACTCACGGCACTAGTGCCGTTTATTCCAACCCGTGGTCACACAGAAGAGCCCCTCTCTTCCCTCCCCTCCTGCTGTACTTTTCCTTCGATTTTTAATGCGAGAAGAGTTCAGCACTCTCTTCCCTCTGTGTACACACGAACTAGCGCTATCCACTAGGGCAAGAGCGGAAGCGAGAGAAAAACTCACTTTGCAAGAAAAGCTCGCTTTCGCCGGGATTCGAACCCCTGACCTGACCTCTAGAAGGTTTCGAGGTTACCAACTAGACCACCGGGGCGGTGGGAGGGGATGATTTCAGAAGTAAAGTGGAAAGCATGAATTGGATGCCAAGTGACGCGGCGTGTAGAAAGGGAGTGAAAGACAGTGTCGGACTCCTGTTCCCATGTTTGTTTGCGTCAGAGGCCGAATGCGTGTTCCTGAGGTGGGATGTGTGTATGAGACAGCAACGTCACGTACACTAACGAGCAAATATCTAGATCCTTGGAATAACCATTGCACGATGGGTCACGCGTGTCAGTGGCTGTGTTTTTGGACGCCACGCCGCGAACAACGACGTAGCACTAGGACACAATTTTGGCAGATTCGTGCAAGGTTCCTCATTCGGGAGCGTTGGGACGCAAGCGTCACTGCTGGTATATTGTATCTAAAATTCATTTCATCTAAATATTTCGCAAGTTCGGTAGCGCTACGTGGTGCCGGCACAAAATATCGCGCGAGCGGAGAGTATTTTGTTTCTCAACGTGATGCTCGTTTGTGTGTAAGTATATGTGCGTGCTTAGGCTAGGGGTTTCTGTACCGCACATCCTACTGCTGTGGCGCCCGGCTTTTACGCCCTCCCTCATGCCTGTACCGTGTTAGTTCATGGTGTATGAGATATTGTGTGTTGCGTTGCAGTCAATGTCCCTTTTTGAACTCAGATGGGGGCTTATTCTCGAATCCCCAGAGAGCACACCCGGCTAGGGGAAATGTCGACCCGACATTACATCCAGGCTTTGCAGACGAAATGGTGTTCCGTGCTGACACTGCACACGCTCTCCCCGTTCCTCTCTCTCTCCCCCCTCTGCAGGGCAAGCCCTGTGCTTGCGCAGTTCATCGATGTCTACTTCCTTGGACAAGCAGCTACTGGTTGAAGTGCTGAAAGGAAACGAGAGAGGCGTCGAAGAACAACTCGACCTGGGGGCAAGCCTAGACGGCTTCGACATATGGAAGCCGCTGTTCGCTGCGGCAAGACACGGGCGCGCCGGCGTCGTAACCCTACTCGCTAAGAGGGGTGCCGAACTGGAAGCCACTTGTCCGCGCGACGTGCGGGATGACCGAGGGATGTACGTGTACTCGAGCGGGTCGCCCGCGGTTCATGCTGCTGTGTACGCCAGAAGGGTCGATTCTCTCCGCGCCCTGCTCGATGCCGGAGCGGACCCGAACGCCGCGGACGCCACCGGCCACACGCCGCTCATGCAGGCGTGCAGGTTGTTCGGTGCTGCTGACCGCTACGTGGTCGTTCGCGAGCTGCTGCGGGGAGGTGCCGATCCCGCGCGCCAGAGCGACAATGGCATGATCGCGTTGCACTACGCGTCGTTCAGAGACGACACGGACGTCATTGGGTTGCTCCTGCCGAAGGCGATGGCAACGCTCAACCAAGACACCGGGTACGGGGGAACGCCGCTGTGTTGCGCCGCGTCCGGCGGGTACAAGGAATCCGTGCGGTGTCTGCTCTCTTTCGGGGCGAGCGACAACGCGCTTTGGTCGAAGAAGGGCGCAAGTGCGCTAGTCGGGGCCGTCCAGGAAGGCAGGCAGGAGATAGTCCGCATCCTTCTCGACCATGGAATGGACGCGGTCGGGGGGCTGGGCGCGGTGCCGAAAGCCATTTGGACCGCAACCCGGAAAGGCCACGCGAAGATCCTACACATGCTGCTGGCCGTGGCGGGAGAGGAAACGCGGCGACAGTGGGCGACGATGCCCTACAACGAATCCACCTTGCTCCACTGCGCCACCTCAGTCGGCTCACTTTCCGTGATGAGCGCGATTCTCTCGGCCGGCGCGGATGAGAGAGCGAGGGATTAGTACGGAGATTTTGCGAGGAACGTTATTTGCGCACGGTTCCAGGTGAATCTAGCCACGAGGGCAGCTATTCTCCGAACGCTGCTGCAGGGACCAGCATACCGTGCTCGGTCTTGGGCGTGGCCGACCATGGCGGGAACTGACGACGATGATGATGATGATGTCGATGGTTCTGGACTCTCGTCCGCTGAGGGAGCGCGAAAGGATAAGGATTGGCCGGTGGTACGAGTTGCTCGGCCTCGGAACAACAGTTTGTTTATTTCAGGCTTTGCGAGGTGAGTGAACGACGTGATGTGAATATTTCGGGAGCACTACCATTTTCGTTCACCCGCTACTCGTGGACGAACGCCTCCGAAGGTGTTACCGATGTAGGCCGCGAGTATCAGAGCGTAGTGAGCACCGGGTGTTGCACCACTCGGACGCTCTTTTCATCTTGTTAAGTCGGTAGCTTGGCGTCCGCCACCGCCGTTGTATTGCAGCACTATTTACTGAGGTTGACATTTCTCTGTGCGTTGCGTAGAACGTTTCTGAAAGTTGCTACTCCTGCGCATTTCTGATGCGTTGTACTGTCAATAAGCGAACCCCTATCCGGTTTTGGTGCGTGCTCGCTGCTTGCGTTCCTTGTTTCACAGCTATCTGCCCTCTCGGCCCTCTTGATTTTCTCGACAGTAGACTGCTGCACGCTTGTTTGGTGACACGTGTCGTTTCTTCTCATGCTTCCGGCCTGGTGCAGGTACTCTAAGAAGTATTGCGGGGGGGGGTCCTAGGACGAAGTCCATCGAGCCGTTCTGCGCTGACTGCAGCTCGAAACCTTCTTCTGTGGCCTTCCTCTCGTGTAGCGCACCACGTCGCTCGACACAACTTGCTGCAGGGACTTCCATTCTTCATTTTTATTTTCTGCGGAGCATCTTGTGGCGTTGCACAATCTTGGGTGACGTAGTTTTGCGTGCGCGAACAGATAGAGTGGTGGCGAAGAGCTGACGACATCCCTATTTCTACGCTCGTTGCGCTGTTTAGCGAAAACTTGGGTGCACAGAGTGGGTGTTGTTGTTGTGGTTGGTATCGTTGCCTAGGGCTTAGTCGAATACGAGGTATGACCGTTGAAATGGCCTTTTGTGGAAAGAAGGTGTGTCTATCTAGGGGAGGGGAGGTTAGCCGAAGATATTTCAAAACCGAGTTTGCGCATCTTCCCCACCGTGACATCGGTGCCGGTGCCCTGTACATGTGAGCCCTCGTCCGGTGTGCATTATTGTGCAGGCAGCCGGATGCTCTACCTTTCCCGAACATAGTTCACTCGAAATAGGGGTTCCAGGCGCCGGTGTCTGGCTGTTCCTACCGTGGTTGTGGTCTGCCCCACAACAAGTGCGTTTCAAGTATACCGCACCGTTCGTCTTTTACCCCACGTATCACCTTGCTGATAGCATGCGCTGGGCGAGAGTCTAAACCTTCGTTTTGCCACGGAGAGGGTACCTCGTGGCGAATTGAGCAGACGACAACCAGTACCCTCGTAACACTCCTTTGAAACCGCGTGGTTGGAGGTCGTTCGATGAGCAGAATGGCACTTTACCCACCCCGCCGGAGGGCAAGAAACACTGCAGCAAAAGCCAACTACCACAAGTCTCACAGACAAGGGACAGGGATATTCACACATGAGAAGCCTGGCAATCAGAAGGGGGGGGGGGGCACCCATAGTCGTGCATGCCGTAGTCGTTAGACCATTGGCCTCGCATCCTACAAAGCCGGGACGGAGCAGGCCGGGTTCTCACCGGACCAGGCTTCCCACATCACCAAGCGCGAAGCACCGTGAGGTATTCGGCGAGTCGCATGGAGGGTGCGCTGCATCCTGCTAAGGGTGTTAGACATCTTGTGCTTACTTCCTTGCGTACGGATGACAGCTGCGAAAGAATTGATTTATTTTCTGGTGCTTTCACTCCCAGAGACAGTTTTACGCACTGTGTAACTGCCTCTAGAGTGCTTGACCAGCCTAAGACAGCGTGGTGCGATCATCCCCCTTGCGCGGGGTGAGGGTTCTCGACCCCGCACAACAAAATCTACTCTATCACCATCATGGTTACCGCAAAAAAAAAAAACGAAGGCAAAAAAAATGACCGGCAACCTGGTTGCCGAGTTCACGAAGTGAATTGGCTTGTTTTACAGCGTCGTTGCCAAGCGACGGAACCCAACCCCGCTGGCAAATACCGAGGGGGAGGCCTTTTTGCAACGCCGTTGCCAAGCGACGAAAACCCAACCCCGATGGCAACCACCGAGGGGGTGGAGGGAGGTAATTTATCTTGGGTGCCACCGGGTGGTAATTGCAGACGTGATCTCGTGGTTTATCCGCAACGCCATTCGGGGTGATGCCCAGTGACATAAAATGGGGGTATGGTACCAGGGCGGGCGATGCAAGCGCCACTCACGGTGCGACAGATCGAGTTTGAGGTAGGGATTCTCTACCTTCACAACCAATAATTCATTCATTCGCTCATCAACTTCTTATCTCTGTGGACAGGGGACAAGTCCCTGTGCCACTCTGGCTCGTAGATATTTAAATGCTTCGAAGTACGGAGGCCACAGGCCTCGTAGAAAGTCGGTAGAACCCGCGGACAACTGTGTTACAGACACCACCCATAGCTGTAGTGGTAAAAAGTAGGGCCACTGCTGTCAAGCGAAATAAATGTGTGCTACTATCCGAAACGAGCGAATTGTCCTCGACAGAGATGCCGTTCTCGTTTGGCAGGAATCTTTCGTCGGCTCTCAGTCGGACTGCGACCGATTGTGCGCACACATGTCGGAGACGGCACACAAGGGCAATTGATCTTGAGAGGGATGGTAGTCATATTCCTCTTAGCGCACAAATTGATATATCTCCTTCTTTCACACGTTCCCGATTCTGTTGAATTCTGCACCCCCAGGTTGTGGCCAACACGCGCAAGCGCATGGAAAGAATCATGCAACCATGCACGAGGAGGGTGAAACAGCGCCAACGAATACCAACTTTCCATGGTGCTGTGTGCGCCTGCAGGGGGGTCAAGGGAGAAAATGTGGGGTGGCGTTGGCTGCAGATGAAGCGCATGTTCATGATTTCCAACGGTATTCCTCTAGATCAATTACACGTATTGAATGACTTCACGTGCAGGTGAACTTTGCTTGTTGCCTGTGCGCTCGGCCAACAAACAATGAAACCGATGTGCCGCGAAGAAGCAAACCGGAAATTCCATGTGCTACATTGGTAGTTCATGGAGCCGCCCCGACCCCCGACACAGACAGCGAAAGATCGTGCAGTAGGTGGGTGCACATGATGAATGGCGTACCGAATGACCTTTGAGAAGGCCCCCCCAATAAATCACAAAAAGGAGCATAACAACCTTGAATCATTTACCCGGGCAATCAATCCTTCGTTTTTCCTTTCCCGTGGCTTATTGAAGTCCGCCTCGAGCCGATGACCTCCATGCACAATGACCACTGAAACAATGCACACCGTCAGCTACAGAACACCCACCCTGGAAGCCCGTGGAAGTCTGAGTTCGTGGTGTGCATACCATCGAACCCACCACCCTGAAATGAACAGCGTCCAGGTTCATCGCATCTCCGTCCGCCATGCGCCGTCAGGCGGAAACGTGCGTAGTGGCAAACTTACGTCGCAGTCATGCTCTGTGTCTCAAGACTTGACAAGTAACCTGGCCATTACCTTCGGTGGATCTTTCATGGGTAGTCTTCGAAAGAGAGGTCTGGCAAGCCGTGATCCTTAGAAGGCAACTACTGAAACATCGCCAACCACTTCTATCCGCAAATCGGCATGGCGGAACGTCCGCATGCATACTACCGGACAGTGTTGTGCAAAATTGGACAATTTCGTTGTTATTGCTCGCTGCAACGACTGTGACAGCAGCATGGCGAAAACGAGCTGAACTACCGGACAGTATTGTGCAAGATGGACAGTTTCGTTGTTATTACTCGCTGGAAGAACGATTACAGCAGCATGGCGAAAACGAGCTGAACCCTCCCAACCTCTCAGAATCGCAAGTGCCTGACGGGCACGAGGATACATCCTAAATTCCCATCGGAGACATGGACCAACACAGAACACCAAAAGCGCTACACCGCCACTCGTTCACCTCAAACAAACACCTGAGTACGGGCATAAACTTCCAACGAGAATACGTAGCCTATGCACGAATCCGCGAGAACAGAACATGCGCACAAGCCTCTATTAACATGCACTACCTCCTCCCCGGCCTGCCCCCCCCGTCCCTGGGGTAGGCCGAGGTTCCGCAAGTAGATCTAGACCTCGAAAGGCCACCCAGCAATGACGGATATACGGTCCCTAGCACTGTTGAGAGGGGGATCCTGAGTTTGGCGGTTGGGAGTTACTGCTGTCGTGAGATCGGGGTAGCTCCTGAGCCGCCAGCTTTGGTAGCTGCAAAATGAGACTGGATCCTGACACCCCGGCTTGGACACCGGGGCTATGCAGCAGCAGAGAGCACGGTGAGGGTGGCGGAGTGGCCGCACGCCGTGGGGGTATGCCCCAGAGAGAGGAAAGGAGAGAGTCCAGACATGGAGGGCCATACCGCTCCCGGACAAGAAGACAATTCTACGGAAAACAAGGCAAGAACCGGGGTAACTATCACGTTACCCCGAGTGTTCCCCAGAAAATAGTAAAAAAACAAAAAAAGAGGGGTAGATGGAGGAAAAGGAGAGGTCGGGCGGCGCGTAGGCTAGCTAAGAGAGCAGCGCGCGCCGCGCGAAAAAGACAGCAGGGTAAACTTCTTAGGGTAGCAACCTGGAATGTGCGGACTTTGGCTGTACACGGGGCCAATAGATACGGGCGAGCTTACAGCGTTCTACACGAGGCAGCGAGACAAGACGTATCGGTGGTAGGAATTCAGGAGACACGGAGGGCAGGTCAAACGGAGTTTGTAGCAGCGGGTTTCCGGGTGTTCTGCTGTGGCACGGAGACTGGTGGAATCCATGGTGTGGGGATAGCCGTCAAAGAGTCACTGTGC